TTCCTGTATCCCATATCACTAATAATGAGGGATCAATTATTCATTGTGCATGTGGACATTTGAGAGAAAACTAAACATCTCTTTTTGCATTTGGCAAATTGGGGAAATAAAAATTATTAGGTGAAATAATGATTTCACAATCTATCCATCCATACGGCATTTAACGTGTTCTGCGTGTACAGTGCAATTTTCTTATAATTGTTGCTGTTTTTTTATACTTTCTTATTCCTACCTATTTCATTTTGAACTCCTTAAGCACTTTGCACTTTTACTTCTACTTATGTCTTTCTAAAACGTCTTCATATAGAGCAAGCTTGAGCTGCCTCTGTGTATGAAATGTGCAATACAAATAAACTGGCCTTGCCTTCTTCTGACTACAATATCAATGTACATTGAATAAATACATTGACATACTGTATACAATTATATTTTGCGGTTAAAATGGGGCGACAAAATTCACTTGATCATATAAAGCCTCTTGTGATTTCTCATGAGGAGAAAGCAAAGGCAGCAAGAAAAGTGTAGGGGAGGAGTTGGATGAAAAGTAAAGCGATTGGGCTGTGGGATGATTGCGATATCAGATATGGTGGAAATGCTGTGATCCCCGTCCTGTACATAACAAGCTCATACACTGAACAAACAAACTCAAACCTGATATTCTTAGCAGCAATAGAGATGCACTAGCTTGTGCATCTCTATGAAGTCCTTTAAAGTAAGATGTCATTCATTCACAGCTGCAGGCGTGGCCCTTTGAATCATTTGCAAACATCTTAAAGAGAGTTTTTAAACCAGTAAATGTACCTTGTGATTAAATAAATACAACCCATAGAGTTAAACAAATCTGATTGGTTTCATTCTCTGTCCAACATAAAGATATGATTTGTTATTTAAAGGGGACCTATCATGCAAAATGCACTTTTGTACGTCTTTTATACATGAATATGTGTCCCCGGTGTTCCAGGGTGTTCCACTCACCAAGTGTCAGAAAACACAACCCTCTCTATTTTCCTCCATACCCAAATCTCTAAAAACGGGGCTGCAACGGATCTGATAAAAACTGATCCAGATTTGAACACTGTCCTGACATCAGGACGGTGGCGCTACGGCTATTGGGCCAACTCTCCACCTATCAGGGGAATGTGGGGTTGGGCCATGGCCGGCCATTGCCGCTCGAAAGCGCTGGAGACGCTGTAGTACATATGCCAGGCCTGTAAGTGGCGCTGTAGTCTGCCACAAAAGCAGCGAAGAAGACTTCCCGCGCATGGTTGCCATGGTTGCCCTTCTGTTTATTCTCCGCTGTGGCTTTTTTTCTCCCTCCCCGAGGCAAGCGTTTGCTCCCGCTGCTTTAATTCAATGCAATCCCTCCCCGTCAAGGCAAGCACTGTAATTCTCTCCGGTTAGTCCACCAGCAGATGACAAACACCCACCTCTCCGCCTCTTCCAAGGAACGAGGGGACCGTGCGGCAGAGTTTCAGTTAGGTTTTTTTTCGCCGGTCAAGATGTCCGTTAAAGTTTAAATCTTCCGGACAAAATTAGAAAAGTGCCGGTCAAAGGTCTTCTTTGTTATTTATTGAGCTTTAAAACAAATGAATAACGACTCTATATAATAATATAATAAAACACGGAGGACGGAGATCTCCCCCCTCTTCTGACAGCCCAGCAGCTGTTCAGAGCACGCTCCCCTCTCCTGCAGGGGGGCGTGGTCAGCTGCAGCTCACAGAATCAGCCCCCTGCAAAAACAGTGCTGGAAAGAGCAAATGGAGCGAAATGAGGCATGGCTAAAATGCAGGATCTGTTTGGTATTTTGAAAAAAAAACTATATTTATATACTTTATATAGGTATGGCCCTACAATATATTGTTCAAATATAGCATGATAGGTGTCCTTTAACCTAAATACGAGAGATGATGTCATGCTGGTGATCGGTGGTTTGTGTCTGTGGTCCACCTGCTGGATAAGGTGGGCATCAGTCTGTGTCTCTGGGTGGGGGCATGCATGGCAGTTCTTTATCAATTGTCCTACCTTAATACTATACTCAAGTATAAGGATGCACTTGTTTTGATAAAGAAGGTGCAATTAAGAAGATGTGCTACTGTCCATAGCACATTTTGCATCTATCTGAGGAATGTGTCCTTAGTTTTTTAATATGGTTGTTCTTAAGGGCCCTCACGCCCTTATCTGGGCAACAAAGCTACTGGCCTTTTAGAAATCAACAGTACACACGTTCAGGAAAGCTTTCGAATGCAGCTTTAAGGGTGTGTGGGGCCGGATCTACCATATCGGCAACCTGGGCAAAGGGGGCCCCCCAGTTTTTTTTTTGTCGATAAGAGGATATGGGCTTAGAGTTACAGCATGTCCTATTTTAAAAATGTGATGCTCTTGAAATATAATAAATTCTTATGATGGAAAACATCTCCTTGCTACAACATAGTTTATTTTCTTCTTTTGCACACCTTTTCATATAGTAACCTATGTCCATGTGTTTCTGTTTGGGTGTTAGATTGGTCTATTACTAAGAGTTTTAATTCATTATTTACATTTCATATTGTGTATTCTTTGGATACTCTATTGATATATTGAAAAATAAATTAAAAAAAATCTATTTTGGAATGTATTTATTTTTTACTTGAAAAAATGTTCTTTATTAAATAATAAATCTGATTTGTACAGCATTTGAGTAGGATAGTAGTATTTTAAAGTGTCAAAAACAAAGTGAAAGTAACAGACTGGAACAAGAACAACCAGTGTTTTTTTTACCTACTAGTACTACCAAACAAAGTAGGCATTTTCTTTGTGCCACTGCATCTCACAAATAAACAAGGAAATTGAATAATCAGACCTTGCAATAAAATAAATCAAGTTTCACTTTAGTTGTTCAAGTAACTCAACTCAAACTCACTAACTCACTCACTCAGCATCATCAGACAGGTTTTTTTTTAGGAATATGAGCATGTCCACATTTCCAGGTAGAAGCTGGGATGTTTGGGCATTTACAATATCCCCTGCTGTGGAAAAAACTCTCTCGCTTGGTACTGATGCTGCTGACAGCAGTGGTCGCGTTAACCGAATATTTTTTTTAACAATGACGGAAAACTCTGAAAGCAGTCTGTCATTTTAACAGATTAGAACAAACTCGGAACAGCGCCAAAGTTTCCCCGCAGCGAGGCTCTGGTGTTTGCCGTGTTATACATCCCCTCCAAAGGGAAATTATATAGTTTCTAAACCGTACTTTGCCGTACAGATCATTGAAATGTCTGGGAGTTTTTGCTTTACGCCATGCGTGCTCCCGCGAGGTGCATGCATATCTCGGTGGGCATGCATAACCCCCTCCCCCCCGTTGACAGATCGCGAGCGTGCTCTCTCTCTCTCTCGCCAGAATAAATCGCCAGAACGCCGACACCTCCTCATCACTCCACCGCTCCCATGTTTTTTTTTGTGTTGCCATAAGTTATTCTCTCTCCGTTGGTGCGCGGGGCTAATGCTAATGCTAATAATGCTAATGCCAGCAAATACAACGGCAGCTTCACAAAACTTTTCCGAGTTTTACAGGGCGTGGTTTGCAATTCGCCCAGCCAATCAGAAATTGGAACTTTTTTCTCCCCAGGAAAGTACCACCTCTCTAGCAGGGACTGAAAAGGGGGGGAAAAGTTCTCATGAACTAAGTTCTCTTTTTGGTGTGAACGCAAAATCCCAGGAACTATCGGAACTAAAAGGGAAAAGTACGGGGAAAAGTACTCCGGTGTGAAAGCGCCTAATGGGACCACCTGGTTAAATAAAGGTTTAAAAAAAAAAAAAAAAAAATAGAAATTAACCACGGTAGATTTTGTCAGTCTCACGACTGTATTGGTACGTTTATTTATCGCGATACCGCGATATTCGGTATATCGTTACATCCCTAATATACAGTATATATATTTTCGAAAGTACAATTGTCGAGCTGGGCCATGCCCCCGGTGTTGCTAGATCAAAGCAACGCCCCTGGTTCAGCGGGAGGGAATTAATGAAGTGATCAGTGAAGGAGCTTTTTATACTATAAAGCAGCTGTGTGCAGCATTTACTGTAAGATTCACACACAATTATTCAATAGTGCAGACTTATTACGTGGTGTTACTTGCGCACACATTTTTTTCTTTGGGCGGTGTTAGGGGGCCCATCAGCTCAGTGCCCAGGGGCCCCTGGAGGTACTAATCCGGCCTTGGTGACAACTGTGCTGCAGTTTTGGGATTATTCCATGCTGGTTGTGAAGGTCCAGCATGGCATGGGCCTTGTTCCAATCTTTTCCTGCACTGGAGCATTTGTTATCCTTTTGTAATTCAGCAGAGGCTCTCACACATACATCAGTCACCCACATGGAAAGCGTGTCATCATCACAACATGCAATTAGTGGCATTCTCTCAAGTTTTAAATCCCCTGGAAGGTAGTCATGCAGGTCTTTTCTGATTATAGGGTTGACAAAAAGCGAATCCCTCAGGGGGGTAGGGTGTGCCACGCCTTGTTTGTAGCCTGTCAAACATTTTGGTAACAAAGGTCAAAGGTTGTGATTGTGAATGCTCTCATTTGATAAGGAGAAAATCAATACCCATTGCTTTGAATATCCTTTTTTTTTTTTTATTATTTAGAAAAAGAAGGAAGTGTTAAAGTTTGATATTTCAAGACACTGTAGCCTATATGTTTCTTTGCACACCTTATAACCCTCATCTCCTATTTGCCTTTAGTCATTACATTTCCAAACGCACAAGTCTATTTGAGCCAAATAATGACTCTTGTTTATAGAGTCATTATATAAACAAGATATATAAACAACCACGCCTATTTTATTATTATGGTATCGTATGCCCTCACGGTGGAGGAGGGGCAGAATAGAGGGGAGGGGTGTGTGATCAGCGGTGTCAAGACGCAGTTAAACAAGAACAAAAGTATGGCAGTGTGAATTTCAAAATAAAAGATTTAAACAACGTGTCCACTAAACGTACTTTTATTTTGAAGTCCAAACCGGAAACGTTAGGTCTTATCACGGTCGACTTGGCGCAATCATTGCACAACTCGCCAGTTGAAAAAAAAATCATCGATAATTGGGAGTTCGTGGAAAAAAACGGGGAAAACAGTGTTTATAAGTGAAATTAGTATAGTAAGCTTCGAGTAGGTTCGGATACACGTCTTTTTCTGTCGATAAAATGGGAAACTGCCACACCGTTGGACCAAACGAGGCCCTTGTGGTTTCAGGTAACATTAACATTTTTTTAACGATGTGTAGCTCCTAGCATGGGCTCTTCCTGCCAGGCGTGATGAAATGCTTTATTCGAATGAAGATCCTTGCAAATAATTAAAAAAAACCCTCTTACAACCTTTATTTAACAGCATGTAAGAAGCTAACATTGCGTGTGAAAAAAAAGACCACATAACGTACTTTAGCAGTTAAAGGTCTGCACCGTAATAAGAAATGCTAGTTTTTCCCCCAGTGTTTACTGTGTGTAACAAATGGACAAATATGTCGTATTTGGGCTTCGTGTTATCCGCTATATCGTACACACGTTTATGAGTTTCTTCTCCGTTTGATTCCGTTTTTCTCTCATAGTAATTCTACTACCAGTTTACTATGCTTTATTTATCTTGTTTATCCTGCCTTTGCTGTAATGCGTGTTCAAGTGTTGTCTCTGCAAATTAGTGCGTAGTGGATTAGATTGGATGTGGGTTTTTTGTTTGTTTCTTGCCCACTATTTCCTCATGAAACTGCTTTTAATTTCGATATTTTCTTGTGATTTTGTCATTATATGGCTGGCAAGGGAGAAGCTGTACAGATGAGGTTATTTAAATGTCTTGATTTTCTTCAGTGGTGAGGTAGGCACTTTTTGCTCTGTGGCGCAGAAGGAATACAGCTAAAATAATTCAATTAAAATGGAAACACACCATCAGCTGATGTTTCTCAGACCTGAAACAGGTCACATAAGAACATTCTTAATCTCATGCCCCCCCCCCCCCCCCCACCGCCCTTTTAAAAACACAGAGGCAAGGGCCCCCCTTTGTGTCCAAGTTTTGGTACCCCAGATTGATATTGGATTTTCTTTTATTAAAAATGATCTACAATGTTGGAAGGAACTATAATCAGATAGTCAAATCAGCGGATAAGAACAATGTGATTAAGTGTGTAATTCATTGTTAAGCTCCCAAATCATAGAAAAATGAAAGCTATTTGTTGCTGCATTCTCCATTGATCTGATATAGATCCCTGGTGAACCTAAGACTTTTAGGAAATACTGAGCTTTGCCTCTTTTAGAAAATCTTTCCTTGGATCAAAATGTAGTATTGGCAGTGTCTTGGATAAAACATTTCCAGGTGGCTGCAACTGATCTGTTAGTGCAGTTTTCATGTCTTAAAGTTGTGATTAACAAACAAATAAAAAACAGCATTGGGATTTTCCATTGTGAACAAATTTAAGAGCATGTCAGTTATAGAGGAACTCAGATTGGGAGCAGAGGCAAGTGGGCGTGAGTTGTACATCCTGATTCCAGTAATTCCACAAATGTGAAAGGAAATCACGCGGTTTGCCAAAGCACAACTGTAAAAATGAGAAATAACCCTGCTCATTTGCATGTTGTGAATAATGTTTTTATTACTTCATCAGAACTCTGCATCATGGAAATTAGAGTCCAGGTGAATGGATTTTTTTTAGCGTGCGTTACATCTCATTAATTCACATAGATAGATCCTTGCCCCCTCAACCAAGGCACTCAGGAATCTCAGATATGCCGCTGGTAGGCAGGGATTATTATGGTGTGTTGCTCCAAGCATTTTCTATAGGACCTCAGCTTGTGACCATTTTAGTTGGCCATGGCATTTGGCAGGAGTCAGGTGGGTTTACATGGTAGAATCCTCTTGCGCCCAGATCCCTTTAATTAAAACAATATTTGTAAATTGTATGAGTTAGATTAAGTTGTCAAAGAGCATGTCCAAACATAGATTTTTATGCTAGACTTTCTACTCGTGGTGAGGCTCTGGTACAAATACAAATAAAGTATGACATATTCGTTTTAAAAGTCAGTACTTATATATTTAAGCACCTCTTGTTCTCTGATATTAAATAGTTTCAGGCAAGACCAAGAGACCTGTTGCAACATAAAGACAGACTAGCTCAATCGGTCGTCATTATGAGTTTAGGGTAAGAATATCGCTTAGTATTCCAAGTAGTCTGTGTCCCTTTTCCTGCTCTGCACATTTTATTTTGTAATTGTTACGTTTATTCTGGTTTGTTTTGTGTTTGTATCTTTTATTTTAAATTGATTTATTTATTTAATGTTTTGTGAGCTGAGCTGTGTGATTTTATATTTTATGTGTCTCTCTGTACAGCACTTTGGTCTGGAGGTTTTAAAGTGCTATATAAATAAAGTTGGATTGGATTGGAATGCTCCCGTTTCCTGTGGAATATTCTTCAGTCACACACCAGGAGAATATTTTCTGTGATAGATTGAGATTGAGATTTATCCTTATAGACATGACATTTCACAGAAGGACCCTCAAACAAGTCTTTTAATAGAAACCCTGTTGATGGAAATGTTAAAACACATCAGCAGCGTGTGAGTGAGAGATGTGGGTCAACATGTCTTGCTGTAATGTTTGGTTGTCGGGGGAGTATGTGTCAGTAAAGATAGTCCAGCTCCTCCCCTCATGGGTCTGTCAGTTAACATGTGACAGCTGGGAATGTCACACTAAAGTCTCCAGATTAATTTATCAGACTGTGGCCGGAGTCTGACTGAGACTCTTTCTTTACATCTACATCTGGAAAATGGCCTAACTGTCACAACAAGATATTGTTACTCTTTTTCCTACAGTCCTGTCTTTGGAGAGTAACAAACTATCTTGAATTTGACTGGAAATAACTGGAATAAAATGAAAATATAGGGGTTATTTAATAAAACAAATGACATGTATTTACCATGTCACATGCAGGTAAAAACAAACATTTTACCACATCATAAGAGGACGTTATCCATTCACTTTACATACTTTAACCAAATCATGCAGTAAGACCCAGTACTGCTTTTTTCTGTGTATTATCTACCACATAAGTTTACTATTAACAAGTACACTTTATTATATTGAAATTGTGCAATAATGTACTTCGCTTGGATAATTTTCTGAACCTTTGTTACCCTAGTATTAGCACATGAAAGCATGAATAGGGATGTTTCTGCAAAAAAAGTTAGACTATAACAAGTGCTGTGTAAATGTAATGTAATTTCTTTTACAAAATGCTGCAATTTTTAGTATTGATAATAAAATGTTGACTTCATTTTACTGTGATCAAACATTATCTTGGCGTTCTCCCTGCAGTAACTCAGATCACACCCTTTTGTAGGCCCATGATATGGACAACACCAGCACACGTGTTATACATCTCTCTTGCCAGGCTGGAGAGAAAGGTATTGTTACACAGTAGATAACAGAAACATACCAGTGATTGAGTGGGAGAGTAGTGTCGAATCAAAAGACTGACAGCACCGGAAATCGGAGAGGAGGGGCCTGCTCCCAGTATAACAGGAGAAACGATGTGGTCACTGTGGTTGGAAGAGTGAGGGTGGTTTGATTTTATGACTGAACAGCACATGATCAACTTCCTAAGAAGCACTTGCAGAATATGTTAACTAGGTCACTGTCTGATATGCATTTCTCAATAGCTCTATGCTACAGTTGCATATAAATCTATTCCTTCGAATAAACTGTATGAATACGAATGTTTTTTGTATATGCAGACATCATTTCTAGTTGTTAAATTAACTTGAGTGCACAGAATATTATGAATGTCCAAAAATGTCAATCTAGTTGTTTTATTTTGACTGTTAACCGATGATATTATACCTGTATAAAAAGGTTTTAGCCGATAGCCAGGCATCTTGTTTGACTCTTTGAATTGTCTTGGCCTTGGAAATAAGTTTGTATTGTGTCTTCGTTACATCTGCCAGCCATCCATTTGTTACAACTAGTCTGTTATCTACTATTTTGCCTGCTGTAACCCAGCTATTATCCAAGCTGTGTGCACGCAGTTCTTTTCAATACAAGTGCAAAACATCATTTATAGTTGCTTTTTAAAAGTGTGAAGTAAACATCAATCAACTCTCTGGCCTACTGTATTTCACTCCATCCCTTTTTATTCTGACATTTATTAATTGAAGCTACTCCTGTTTTCTTCTTTTCCCGTGTTGATTTTTATAACCATGTGACGTCCATTTCCTCTCTGTTGTTCCTAGGTGGCTGCTGTGGCTCAGACCATAAGACATATGTGGTGGGAGGCTGGGCTTGGGCCTGGTGGCTCATCTCTGACATCCAGAGGTAAGGCCTCTCCGCTCTGGCTCCAAAATGCTTAAATGTCCTTTGAGAGCAATTCAGTCTTAAGTGGCGCAGTGCTCACAAGATCAGCCAGAAAGCTCTTTAGAACAGGGTATCTGCAGGTCCTCACAACAGGTTCACACGTCTGAAAGAATATTCTTTCTTATCCAGATTTTAAAACTCCTGCCATGCCTAAATATTGCTTTAATATGCTTTATCAAAAACAATAACAATGTATGTCCCTTACCAATTAATATTTTCTTCATATTCTTACCCTGCTTTTGAGTGTTCTAAGGGTTTCAATCAATTAAGGGAGATATCTGGACAACTAGCAATAACATTTAACATGGATGCACTTGATGACATGTTCATCATAGCGATTATCATAGTTCAACACAATTACTGTAAAATATTTATTTTTATGCAGTTTGTTGACAATAAAATCCTTGGAAAACAACACATTTTTACTACTTTGTGTTTTCAATCTTGAAAATACACCCTAAAATGTCAGTATTTTAAGTTGGTCTCTGCAGATACCCTGAAAAAAATATATTTTTCATTAAGACTTTCCTGATCTTACACAGTTCAGTGGAGATTAGACACATTATTTATGGTAAACTGAGGCCTCAGAATTAAAACATTGTTTACTAAATGTGCAAACAAACTAAAGAGCTCAACGCTGTATGTTGATTTTAAAAGCAGCTCCAACAATCCAGCTTGTGAGAAAAACACTGGAAAGATAAACAGATGGTACATAATGGCCAGTTCAGGGAAAGTTAAAAACATAATGTTTACAGAACTAACTAACTAATTCCCACACTCAAACGGAGACCAAAAGTTCAAAGAAGGAGATAGACTTGCAGACAGTTTTTTGTGATTTTTAAGACAAAGTCAAGTTTAAAACCACTTATAAATGTCCCCATTTATTCCTGTGAGATCTCAGAGTTGTGGCACTGTTTAAAGTTGCTGATTGAATGTCAGTGAAGTTGCTTTATTGCAATGAAACGGCAGATAATGCGCTTTCATGTGGCGTAACAGCCCCTGATATAGTTGTACCATCTGTGAAAAGATAGCCTACAGTTTTCCTGATGAATTTGATAATATTGCTTGTCTCTGGAGCTCCTGTTTGTAATCTATGTATTATGTCTGGGGGTCTGCTTGTCTCTTTGTTTCTTCTTGCTAACCTGCTTTGCTTTGCCTGGTGTCGATCTCACCTCGTCTAAACCCAAGCGTGTCTCCTTCAGGTTAACCATTTCCCATTAAGTGTCTCACTTTGTGTTCCGTTGCTAGGAAACTTAATGGTAGACGATAAAATAGAGTTGATGCATGGCTGGATTTAAAAATCCCCATTTAGAGACCGGCTGTCTCTCTCGCATTATTCTATTCTGCAATTTAGTCAACATTGCACATGTTGGATTTTAGAAACCGAGAGGGCTGGCCACTTCAGCTAAAAGCCCTGTGTGTGTGCATAAGGACAGCTTTATAAAAACACCGGGGGGAAGGCTGTGTGTCTTCCCGCTCATGATGCAGTAATCAATTTAATGTCCAGGCCTGTGACTCATTGATCCAATTCTCCTGGAAAGAAGTGGGAGGCGCATGCGGAGCTGTTAACCAGAGACTCTCCTCTTCTTAGCTCCAATGTCTTTGACTCTGACAATGAGTCAGTATTTGTTTTTAAAAAAAACAGCTGTGAAACATAATATCACGTACACAATTAAACTCACAAGTACTGAAGTGAAAGATCAATCAATCAATCAATCAATGTTTATTTATATAGCCCAATATCACAAATGTTACATTTGTCTCAGTGGACTTCACAGTTTGTACAGAATATCAGTATGACAATACGACACCCTCTGTCCTTAGACCCTCACATCGTACAAGGAAACACTTCCAGAGAAACCCCACAGTGTAAAGGGGAAAAATGGGAGAAACCTCAGGGAGAGCAACAGAGGAGGGATCCCTCTCCCAGGACGGACAGACGTGCAATAGATGCCGTGTGTAAATCAAAGAGATAATACATTTACAGCATAGGTAGACCAAATGCATGTGTCTATAATAAGAAGATGAATCCACGAGGATGTCAACAATCCTGTGGGAGCCATCAGGGAAGTAGTATGATGAGGGTCAGGCAGGACCGCAGTGACAGGTTCAGCCACGACTCGAAATCCAGGACTCAGATCAGGACTCAGGATAGAGGATCCAGGACTCAGGATAGAGGATCCAGGACTCAGGATCCCAGCGTAGATAGACACCAAAAAGAAATTTGGAGGAAGCTGGGTTATTCGGAACATGAGAGTACACAGGTACAGACAGAGAGAAGGAAGAAGTAAGGTGTCCCCCGACAGTCTAAGCCTATAGCAGCAAAACTAGGGGCTGAATTATAAAAGAAACGATAAGGATTGTTTTCAGAGGACTTGTGTAATCTTCGTACAAATATCTCTTGACTAAATAATCCTTTAAACACAAGTTCTCATAAGTGGATCTCGCTCTTTGTCCCAGTTGATAGGAACAGTTACTAACAGAGAGAAACAAGAGAAGCTGTGTTGTAGCTCTGAAGATTTTCTATGAGGTGTCAGCGGCACACATGAAAAAGACTTTCAGGGCTAAAACCGGCAAAACAGGAGGTCGTCCTTCACCCTCTCCCTCCTCCCCCCTCTCTTGACCTTGGTTACTTACATTCCTAACAGCTGTTGTCCAACTTACTGTTTTGCCTCTGCTATTCCCGCCTGCCTGCCTGCCTGCCTGCGTAGAATGTCTCTGGAGGTTATGACCATCCTCTGTCGCTGTGAGAATATCGAAACCTCGGAGGGTGTTCCCTTGGATGTGACAGGGGTGGCTCAGGTAATGCATTTCAACATAAAAAAAAGCAGTGGCTGCTGGTGCTCGCGGCCAAAGGAAGACTCAGGAAAAAGGTTCAACTAACAAGCTAACTATGTGTTTGCTTCTCTCATCTTCATTGCTTTTTTCTTCTGCAGGGGAGGGGACACAGTCAGCTGTCACTTATTTGGGTTGTGCCAATAAAGCTGAACTCTGAGTCACATTTGGCAACGGGGTCAATAAATGAATGCTATAAAAATGGCCAAAAAAAAGAGAATTTGATCAATCCAATCTTAAATCCAAATTTGGAATAAAGCTGAAAAATATGACAATTTAAATCCTTCACATTTTGAATTGACAATGGCATCTCATTTATCTCCGTTGTCGGTGGTCTGGAGTCCTTGGGTGAATGGTTTCACTTTGTCCTGTTTTTTTCCTTGTGTTCTGGCCCTTCCCTTCATTTTGCTTTCCCTCCGAACATGTCAATTTTTATTTTTTTTATTTTTCCACATTCTTCAACAGGATAACGCTTGAGATTATGACCCTGCAGCCCAAGTGTGAGGATGTAGAGACAGCGGAGGGTGTAGCTCTTACTGTCACTGGGGTGGCTCAGGTAAATCACTACACTTTTCTGGGAATACCAGTTCAGACTCCACTAACCCACACATCCCCCACCCCATACCTCCCTTTCTCTGGCATCACCCCATAATCACAACACAGGTGTTTTATAAATACAGAGGGCTCAAGTTTAGAGGCACACTTCTATCTTTGACTAAAGCCCTGTGTCCATGTGGCGACTTTTTCTGAGTGCCAGTGTGCACCCAGGGTTTTTTCCCTTTTTTTTTTGGCAACGCCATTTTCCTCAAGCACTTCAAGTTAAAAATATTTCAGAAAAGTGCCAGTGTCGTCACTGTAGAAAACAGAGGACTCTCTTGGTTGGACAGTATGTTTCATACAGAACCTACCATAACAAAGACTGAAAATATAATTTCTTTGAGCGGATTGGCCAGGTAGACACCGACTGTTGCTGCCGCATGAGAGTTGTACTGTTATCGCTGTACGCAGGTTAACTTCCTCGCTCTATGGCTGTCAGATTGAACGTTGAAGCTCATTCATAAAAACAAGCATCTTCTGGTTGCTCCTCAAAGTAAAAAAACAACGTCAAACAAATATTTAGTTGCAAAACAGAGAAAATCCAATTGGGCAATGCCAGTCTGTCATATAACAGAGGTGATGCGTTGTTGAGATAGCATTTTCATAGAAACAAAACAAATAAAAAGTGCTATTTGGACACGGGCCTAATGACACTAAGCAAAATACAGTTTGAGTCAAATTGTTGTCTGCATGATTTACCCTCATATTTGGGCATAATACACCTAGCATTAACTCACCTGACTAAGCCTGCATTCAGAGTGACCCTAGCACCGAGTAAAAAGCCTTCAAACCAGGCTTCCTGGTTTAGTATTTGGTCAGCCCCCTAGCGGGATATATTCAGTCTGAACCTGGTCCTAGTGTGGCAGGAGAAAGGGGTCTGTGTAGAGCCTGATGTGCATTTTAATATCAACCTGAATCTTTTGTTTTCATTGTGTCTGCTGTGTTTGTTTGATCCTGTTCAGTGCCAAAACCTTTTTTGTTGTTTTTCAACCTGAGATGTGAGAAAATTCCACCTTTAAAAAATAAAACTTGATTTTATATACTCCACACATAATACACAATAAAAGTGAGCAGCATAAAGTAATGGACACTAGATACGTGACAAATTATATCCTTTATTTAAAGCATATATTATTACAAAGATTTTCAAAATTGAAATGCCTACCTCCATTGGCATAGGACAGGACCATTCTTTACCGAAGAAAAGGAAATTAAGATATCTCACAATCCTTTGCGGCACCAACATTTTAAAGAATCGCCATTCTATTACTGAGGAATTGGATTCGAAAATGTAATTAAATAGTACGTCATTGCATTTATCACAGTAATTATTATATTAACTGTTGGAAAAAAAAGCACTTAAAGCACTCTAATGAATTGTCCTTCACATCTTGACCCTATGTAATTTTCCATCACATCAGCAGAAAGTAGATAAGATATAGAAAGTAATTATTAAATGCTTAAGTAGTTCAAGGACAAAACCTTTACTTTAAATATTTCTACGGTGGGACTGTTGTCCCTTGAGTCATTTCCTAAATCAGTTAAAGTGTTTGAGCTACTAACATACATAAAAAGTGAAATATTTTGATGGTGAATTTTCTACTGAAAAACATAATGTACACACTATTTTCTGCATTTCTGTTTGCGAATGATCTTGCGCTCATATTCATTTCCCTTTTTTTGTCTGGCATGCTAGTATTTCCTTTTGTCTCTGAAAGAAGTTGGTGTCTCGTTATCCGTTCTGTATTTTGACCACACTCATGCCAGTGTTCCTCTCCTCTGTGTTGTCCTGCATGCCTGCTGACAATGAGCCCACTGTAGGGAGCTGAACAGCCCTTCACTCTCACACAGTTTACTTCACAGAGAGGCCCGTCGTTTGATTGGTCCAACCTAGACCAAAGACATGGGGTGTGTGTCTCCCATGGCAACAGGAGCAGTGTGTGTGGTTGTAAAGTTAAAGAGACACGTGCTGTATTTGATTAAGAAAGAGACACAAAGTAGAATGAACTTGAAAGTTAATTAAGAATTTAGTTTGAACTATGTTAGGTGGATATCAATTACACTCTTGCACTATAATCATGTTTTGCTTCACAATTTTGGTAGCATTTCTGTCTTTCTAAAATCCTGTCAATTGTAGATGACCCAAAAAGAGAATTCACTTTTTTAATACACAAAAAGGAAAAGGAAAAAAACGTTGAGGGAGTAGTTGTCAGGAGTGTAGACGCCATTATTTTTGTATACATTTCCTGTACTTTTATTTTAAGTTTTTGTATCTTGAATGAGCTGTGCGTTAGGAGAAGGCAGGAGGAAGGGTGGTGTCACGAGGGGAATAGGAAGGGGGGGGATACGGTCAGGGGTTAAATGGAAGAGATTCCTGTTGCACACCAGTCTTGGCTGTGGCACGGCTCCCCCTGCTGTGTGTCTGAGCTTGTGTGTGTGTGTGTGTGTTAGTTTGTGTGCGGCTGGCTGGCCTGCAGCCCTTTTCTGTTTTCAGACATGTGTTTCCTTGGAATGACGTCCATCTTCACTGACTTTGTGTTGCCCTCATTCCTGTTATGAGTGCATGTTGCAAAAACAAAAACCATGTGCAGACCTCTCGCCTAAGGACCCAGCTCACTCTCTTTTCTTCCAGTTCCAGTGGAGTACAATATGACCCAAAACCTCCTGTCTTACACCATTTTGTTCCTTTCCTGCCTGTATACGTGACTTCTGTTATCACTGAATGTCCTTTTATATTGTAAACCTCATGCAATTGATTTTTCTTTTGTTTAATTTATTGTAAAGGATCCCACTGATGGCATTTCCTGTAAATGATCCTGTTATTAAGATGTAATAGAGAAATACAGTAATAACTCGATTGGCATTTAGATGTTGGTTTCAGGGTAATTATCCGGTCACAGAAAGTCCACTTGCATCGTGCCATTTTTAGAGAAGTGATTTCATTTATAAGTACATGCCTTTGTCTGTTATCATGAGCCTCGTCATAACGGCATTGAGGGTCAAATTGTCTGCATCTTCTGCTATTGGTTACACATACATCTATCATTTATCAAGAGCATTAGACCATATGTCTCTACTGTTAAAGTGAAGACACACACATTGAGCCTACAATACAACTATTTATGATGTTGCTGTAAAACCGTTACAACCCTAATTTGAGAAGAACTTTGCACTGGAGTTGTAACGGAAATAATGTGATCATCCCTGTATGCAGGCCTCCATCCCAGCACCTGCCACCCAGGGCTGTTTATTTAGTGCTTTTTCCTGTGTCAGTGTATAGATCAGAATTACATCGGTTCATCAATACACAGCCAAGTCAATAGCAAGGATGCATGACCCAATTTGATGCACTTTTACACACAAAAAAAGGCCTCTATGCATCCATCCATTGCTCTAATGCATTACAGGCTGTGTAAGATTTTTGTCATGTCATGCTTTATTTGTGTACTTGTTTTCCACACACTACTGACAGTATAAGAGTTATAAAGAATGATAAGTGTTTATTGATTCGACAGATAGAGATTATAAGATGACACCACAAAGCTAGTACATGTCATGTTCTCACGAGTGCCACACCCACATGATGTTGTCTGTATTTGTACTGGTGTTTGTGGATGTGTGTTCAGCTGACTCTTTGTCCTCGTTGACACCAGGTGAAAGTGATGACAGAGAACGAGCTGCTGGGTTACGCCTGCGAACAGTTCCTGGGGAAGTCAGTGGTGGAGATCAAGAGTGTGATCCTGCAGACCCTCGAGGGTCACCTGCGTGCCATCCTTGGTGGGTAGTCTCTCCGTAGTGATTTCTCACTGTTTAATATTTAGTTTTTCCAACAAATGCGGACAATGTATATATATCGATTTTCTTAGTCTCATCTTAAAGAGGCCCTATTATGCTTTTGGGGGTTTTCATGTTGCTGTAGTGTGGCACATAGGCTTTTATGCATGTAAATGGACTGCAAAGGCTAAAATCCCACATTTTAAGGATTTCTCTCCTACAAGAGTGCCAAAACATGTAAACCACCAATGAAAGACATAATTAACACATTTCGCAAGGCAAAGATTGTAAATGGCTGGGGTCACAGTGTGACGCAGTTTCACCGGAAAGTTGGTTGTGGGGGAAAATGCACCAAAAGGTAGCTTTAGTTCCTGGTTTGGCTGTTAGCCCTGGGCTTGACTTGAACTCACAATGAGTGTTGACAGGTGTGGTATTATAGAGCGGCAAGGTCAATTTGATCAGCTTGAACCCAAGGAGACAGAATAGCACTGAAGACAAACATCATAATCATCACAATGGCAGGCTGTTGCTTTAGTTTATTTAAATAAATCACTGTTGGAAGTGGATAATGTATAACTTCCTCAGGGTCAGACTAGCAGGTGTTTGAACTATGAAGTGTAAAAGCTGTCATGAACTGTAGCCCAACTGGGTAGAAGATTTAATCACTATGGGGGAATTCAGGTCCATCTTAAAGGACAGAGAACCCGACACCATTGGTAGATGTGAGTGCTCGTATATCCAAAAATCGTTTTAAATGTTGCCAGTTTCTAATGGTTTTTAATAGTTTGTTTTATTTCGCATATTGACTGGCTAATGTGCCATTTTATTTGTGTTTTACAGCTGTATTTGTCTGCCTGTCTTGTCTGTGTTTTATCTGTTGTAACTTCGTTCATGCTGCCCTTCTTGGCCAGCTCACTTTTGGCCAGCTCACTCTTGGAAAAGAGATTTTAATAATGTGGCGCAGTGGGTTAATGCGCTGATCTTCGAATCAGAGGATAGTAAGTTTGAGTCCCACTGCAGTCAGCATGTCGTTGTGTCCCTGGGCAAGACACTTCACCCCAAATTGCTCCTGTGGGGATTGCTGACAGTATTGAGTATGTAAGTCGCTTTGGATAAAAGCGTCTAACATGTCATGTAATCTCAATGAGTCTTTTACCTGGTTAAATAAAGGATATATATAAGATAAAAATGAGGACAATGTCACATGACATTATACGTTTGTCAATGTGCTAAATTTGCATAAAAGTAATGCATTGAAAAATGTTACTTGAGTAAAAGTATGTTAGTTTAATCAAGAAAATGTACTTAAAGTATTGAAAGTACAGTAAAAGTACTCAATGCAAAAAAATGCCCCATGTGATCATCATACTATTTTGTATATCATTAGATTATTATTAGTCATGCATTCATGTAAAAACAGGTACTTTGTTAAATTAAGTTACCAGTTTAAACTATGGATTCATCCACTGATTATTTCTCCATTAATTGATCAATTGTTTTGGTTTGTAGATGTTCTGAAATAAGGGAGAACATCCATCACAAATATCCAGTGACACCTTCAGGGAGGTTTTGTTATCCAACAATTTTGACTTCAAACTAAATGAAAAAGGACATTTGGCCAAAAAGTTTCTGTTATAGTAAAACACTGTACATTTTCTGTACACAATTCTTGATCTGTAAAAATGTAGTTGAATAGAAATAAAGTAGAAGTGGCATCAAAAGAAAAGACCCAGGAAAAGTAACACACAATTGTAGATAAGTACAGATCTTGTGTAAATATACGTCCATCTCTGCTGTGAAACTATGAAAGGGAAGGCACTAACTGGCGTTTCCATCCCTCAGGTACCCTCACTGTTGAGCAGATTTACCAGGACAGAGATAAGTTTGCTTCTCTGGTGCGAGAGGTGGCATCACCGGATGTCGGCCGCATGGGAATCGAGATCCTCAGCTTCACCATCAAGGTGAAACACATCAATTCACTTTGCTTTCATCTATTCAGCCTCTGCTTGTAATTTGAGAAGTATTTAACCACTCCCATATATGTTCCTCACAGGATGTGTATGATAAAGTGGACTACCTGAGTTCACTGGGCAAAACGCAGACAGCCGCAGTACAGAGGGATGCAGACATCGGAGTGGCAGAGGCAGAGAGAGACGCTGGCATCAGGGTAAGAGGAGCTTTCAGATTAAATTAAAGCCACAAAGCCATTACAAAAACTTCCATTCTCTTGATAGCTATTAGCTAATAGCTATCAAACCAACAAACTCCTCCTAATCCATCTCCATCTCATTATGTGTCTCTTACAGGAAGCCGAGTGCAAGAGAGAAATGATGGATGTCAAGTTCTTAGCCGACACAAAGATGGCCGACTCCAAACGAGAGCTAGAAATGCAGAAAGCGTCCTTCAATCAGGAAGTGAACACGAAGGTAAAGAGTTATATGGTTTAGATTTGTTTTGCCAAATGTTGTGAGTTATATGTAAGTATTGATGTAAAACCTTCGGTCCCTTTAGAAAGCAGAGGCTCAGCTGGCGTACGAGCTGCAGGCGGCCAAGGAGCAGCAGAAGATCCGTCTGGAGGAGATTGAAATCGAGGTGGTGCAGAGGAAGAAGCAGATCATCATCGAGGATAAGGAGATCACCCGCACGGAAAAGGAGCTCACCGCCACGGTGAAGAGACCCGCAGAGGCCGAGGCTTACAAGGTGCAGCAGCTGGCTGAGGGACGCAAGTGAGTGGCTCCCACACAGGTTCTCTTCCACAGTGCATACACTCCTTATCATTTAAAGGGATAGTACGAATGTATTGAAGTTGGGTTATATCAGGTAGTTATCCATAGTCATTGTATTAGCAACAGTAGATGGCTGATGGCACAAACTTCAGTGTGAATAAACAGGAAGGAGTTTCACAGAACATTAAGCACTACACGCTGTAAACGGGGGCATCAGCAAAAATAGATTTGAGCCCCTTTTAAAAAACTTTCGCTCCTAGTTTAAGAGTACACTATATTTAATGTATTTTAGTCAAAGAGACATATCTGAGTAGGAACTGAAGCACTTTTAAAGGTGGGGTAGGTAAGTTTGAGAAACCGGCTCGAGATACACTTTTTGTTATATTCCATGGAATGCTCTTAACATCCCGATAGCAATGAATATCTTAAGTGCTTTGACAAAAAATCCATTAAAAAATGTCATCTGTGGAAGCCGTAATACTGTAAAAAGCACGACCAATCATTTTAGCCGGCCCGGCTAAAATAACTGGATGGCCTACCTGCCTGTCAGCCTTCCATCTGTGCACAAACTTATCTCGTGCCCTCATTGGTCATGTTCGTGTGTTGGAGGAGGGGCTCTATAAGGAAGTGGCAGATTTTTTCCGGTTGTGTATTTTCAAATTCTAGCGATCTCGAGCTGGTTTCTCCAAAATGACCTACCCCACCTTTAACTGAAGTACTTATCTATACTCTCAAAGCCACCAGACTAATTTTGCAGTTAAGTTGTTGGCATTTATTTGACCACAGTTACTCAAAACAAGAGAAACAATGTAGCTACAACACATGCTGGATCTACTGCATTTGAGGACCCTATTTGGATTTAATGGCACACAATCATGCAACTGAATCATGAAATTCTCAGCCGGCTTTTGCTTTCTTAATCTCCCTTATCCTGAAAACCAATCAAATTAGTTTAAAACGGTTACAAATAGAAAGGAAATTATATTGGCCATTAAAGCTACAGCCCCTATACCAACATTTTGAACAGAAGATTCAAAAATGCTTTCTAACAATGCTACACAATATCTACATGTTTAGGTTACTCAGGTTTTGTGATGCTGTTTCAGCACAATAAGCAAAGCAGTATGACTGGGCCAAAGTCTATTTGAAATTGAGTTTGACCTGTACTTGACTGACTGCTGACAGTAAACACTAACAGTCCTTCTCCATCCCTAACCCCAGGATAAAGGCGGTGCTGACGGCGCAGGCAGAGGCCGACAAGATCCGCCTCATCGGTGAAGCAGAGGCCTCTTCCATTGAAGTCATTGGAAAGGCGGAGGCTTTGAGGATGAAGCTGAAGGCTGAAGCCTACCAGCAGTACGGAGAGGCTGCCAAGACAGCCCTGGTGCTGGAGGCTCTGCCCATGGTGGGTGATATTCAGTTTAACTCCACTGGTGTAAAAACATCTGGGAAGTCTGGTTTATTGGTCTGTTTACCCAACGTCTTCAGCACCAGAGGTTTGGCACCAAAGTCGTCGGTGTTCTTAAAAAAGCTTTTTTCCCTTGTGAATGCTAACAATTAAACACATTCTTTCAGACATAATCATAGTTGGTTGATTAACCATTGTGCATCCCTTTATAGTAATTTGCCTTGATGTCACTAGCTTTTAGAGAGTGCCCTATGCACTAAGACCGAATCCTTATCCCTTCACTGCATGTTCTCCCCCTTTCTCCTCTTTTCTGTCTATCTTCAGCCATACTATGATCAAAAGGACAAACACATCAATGTTTCCGAAATGTTCAGAATATTATTCCTTTAATTGCGCATTAGTTGAAATAATGCCATTGTTTTATAGTTATCTTTTCACAGTTATAGCTTGTAATTGCCCTAAAGGGAAATACATGAACAGATGGCTCAATCTGGACAAAAATATTTAAAAAAAATGTTTGAAGCCAGGGATCCAAATTGAAAGCCTTATATAATAAAACGCATGATGTAATGATCCCGGCGGTAGATCAAAATGGTGTATTTAATGGGGACATTTCTGTCCTTAAGTGTCTGACTGTCTGTGTTTTGGCTACAAATGTATTATTGACATGGTATAGGAGCCAGAATTATTGAAATAGTATTACATTATAAATCAACTGCATTAAACATAGTGCAGTTGTCATGTCCTTATGTAAAAATAAGTCCATGTGAAGAGAAAAACTCTGCCAATAGTTAATACTTCCAAAACCTACATTTTCTTATGTTGCCCTAACATGCCTGGCTTATTAAAAATCAAGTAACCCTTCCGCCTTACAGATGCTAGTATTTATTTTTCACATTTAGGGTAATGCTATTCTCCCACACTTTCTCAACATGGTGTTTTTTAAAAGCATTTCACTGGTAAGGCCTGATGACTTGGGTACAAATATTTCAGTCACATATTGGCGAGGAGAAAACTGGACAAAGCTCCCACGTGTTTTTGTGAATAAAGAATAAATATGTTCATGTCAATTCCTGTCATGTATGGTAATATGAGGAGTGTTTTGTCAGTGAAGTAACAGATGCTCTTGTGTTTTACCAGATTGCCAGTGCGGTGGCTGCGCCGCTTGCTAGGACCGGCGAGATTGTCATCCTGAGTGGAGAGGGCAGCCGTGTGACCGGAGAGCTGAACCGGCTGTTAGCTGAACTCCCCGTCTCCGTCAACGCCCTCACCGGGGTGGATCTGACTAAGGTGAGACACTACTCCATATCATCAGACCTTTTATCTCCAGTGGCAGCTCTACGACTGTCTTATGATTGCTGGAAAATGGCAGCGGTTATTCTTCTTCAACAACAAAAAGGAATAAAAAGCAGCCATGAAAATGTTGTCAGTCTAAATATTTAAGAGAATATATTGTAGAATAAAACATAATTACAACAGCTGAGAGGGAATTAGCGTTTGTCCTCTCCTGTAGTGTGTTTATATAGGCTTTTGTGCATGTGAATGGTCTGCAAAGGCTAAAATCCCTGTGTTGCATCCAGTGCGAGTTTTCTCCCCCCCTCTTGAAACGCCTCCATTGGACTCCTTATTTTATTTACGTAACACAATTACATTACTATGTAAAACAGGCACTTCAATTGGTTAGTGCTTCAACACATTGTACGTGATAGGCTAAGGAGTGGGACATCTCTTAATCGGTGTACCAATCACAAACGAGCCAGCCAGCTAACCAATCAGAGCAGAAAGGGCTCTGGTTTCAGACAGAGGGTGAAAAGAGGAGCTTTAGCACAGGCAGTTTGAGGGGGATAAAGACCTTTTGACATTAAAGCATGTAAACATGTCACAGTAGAGGCATAACAAATACAAATATGAACCTGAAAATGAGCGTAATACGGCCCCTTTAACAATCCTTGAGACCTTGTTCTTGCTCCTTGCACTCAAATGTTCTAATTGAGTTTTCAATAAGTCAGTGTCTGATCACTTATTGTGCCCATACACTTTAAATGCTCCAGCTCTTCTGCATTTCTGGTTCCACTTTGTCTTGTTTGGCATTATAAGGCCTTTTTATTTACTCCTCTTTCCCCCCCCGTCCTCTGTTCCCACAGATCCCGATGCTGCAGAAGTTGATGAACCCGCAGAGCCAAACCGCCATCTGAGGAATCAGGCCAGAGACTCCCAACCTTCTGACATTTATCTGCCTCAAGCATGAAAAGAGTTTTGTCAGCCTCTGACCCCTTATGCAACTGCCTTTTGACCAGAAACACTTGACACCAACCAAGAGTTTTTTTTAAATATTTTTAAGAGGTTATTAATTTTCTAAAGAATACAACAAAAAGCTGGGGCCTTAACTTCTATAGGACCAGACTATGTATCTTCTTTTGTTTTTGATTTTAGTTTTTAGACATGTTGATTATTATCACACTGCACTAGATAGCTAGGATTATATGCTGCAATCCTGTTCAGTCCTACAAGTCCTCCGAAACAGATGCTTTTAAAGGAGACATGGATGTGACTTGACCCACTTTCAATGTGGTGGATTTAAACATTATTTTAACAAGGAGAAAATCCACAGTTTCAGTAGTAGGTGAAAGAAAGAGTCCACAACTTTAAGGCCAAATCTGAATATTGTCTTCTTGGAGTGCTCTACTTCCCAGTCGGATGTTTTCATCCTCATTCAGTGAATTAGCTAGTAGTAGACTGAGCCCGCTGTGGAATAGGCAGCTTTAATTCCCTCTTTTGCTTTTAAAACTAGTATTTTTTCTAGATAATTAACTCTTACACAGAGAGAATTGATGGATTACCAAACCTCTTACATTTAATGGTCGCTAGATCTCCACCCACTGTGATTGTAATATTTTTGCAGTCATATTTGGATCACTTGTATGATAATTCTTACCTTGCGTCATGTTGCCCGTCTCCTCTTTCCGATGTACAGTGCCTGTTCACCACTCAAGTGCCCAAACCTTAGGACGGTGGTTTGGCTTTAGTTGGGTTTATATCAGAGTATATCACTGTGTTATATGATGTTTTAATATTGCTCCCTGTTCTCATAACATCTGCTTTTACTAACTACTGTCTACTTTCGCGTATTTGTATACAGATTTAACACAAAGCCATACTTAGAGAAGACTAGCCTTAAGACATGACCCTGGAGTCTGAGCTTTAAATCATTTTATTTTGTAGTTTCCCCGAATGTCACGTTTTGTAACTCTAAACAGTGACCCCTCGCCTCTATGTTGCCTCTGTGTCGCTTATCTGACTTAAGTGTCATGAAGTTGGAAGATAAGCATGTGATCAGTAAACACGCTAATGGGGTTTGTGCTCGGGCAGTTTGGTAAATGTAATGTCGAGCAGACAGGGTAATGGAAATTTTTTGCAAATTAAACTTTTTTCCCTTTCTAATAAGGTTAATCTAATTCCTCCATATAGTCTGTTACAATAATTTTAATGCTAAATTGTGAAATGCCTAAATGTTTCAGTGTTTCATCATCACTCGAAGCACAGTGTGCACCCAGTTTCCACCTCTAGATGGCAGGAGAGTCTCAGGATTAGTGAGCCAGTTGTTGCTGCCTGTACGTTTTAACCTTTTATTTTTTATATCACACTGCATTTTATTTGTGCCATCTTTCAATCAGCTTGCAAGTAAATAAGGCTAACCTTTTTTTTTTTACGTGTTTTGCTTCTGATTAATCACATCATGAATGATGATGAACCACTTGACAGAATCTGTGACAATTTGTTATGTTTTGTTTTGCCACTGACGGTTTAAAAGTTATTATAGTCACGCCATTTTCTTCATTTTCTGTGAATAAACATGAGGCTTGTGGCTTGTTTGGTCTGAGAACATGTCTGTTTTTGAACTCTGCCTGGTTCTCATGTGTTTCTGCAACTACTTTCCCTGCTGTAAATGTTGGTAAAACGCTGCCTGGCTTACCGTAGATATTATAATATTAAAGTGTCGGTGTGTAAACTCTGTACCGTCATTTCTATTAGCTATTAGCTTTTAGCAAGCGATAAGCAGGATCTAATATCCATAAACCTGACCAAGATCACCTGATCATACTGTCCCATTTCCAAACTGCAGCCAGACGTTTACAGCAAAATATCATTTTATAACCTGCTTCAATATAGGTAATAAACATATTGTCATCTTTATTTTTTAATACATGTATGGGAAGTCATGCAGAAAGTCTGACATTCTGAGTGGCCACTCCCATTTTGTCTTTATATATTTTAGTTTATTAAAAACTGTGTTTGTTGGGCAAAGGTTAAAGCATCCAAATTAACAACTTTATCATTATATGTAACGCTTATTTCATTAAGAAAGTACATTTTTGTTTCTGTACACAGTGCTTTTGTTAAATAATGAAGAGGTCATTCATACTTAAATGAGCAGTTTGTTCGCTATTTATCATAAACTGTAGATTTGTAATGGGATATTCTATTGTGAATTTACTGTAAAAACAAACGTATGTATTATGCATATATGATGTTCAGCTGTTTCTACCTTTCTGTTTTATGTACTTTTCAACATTCTGTACTGCAAATGTACAAAGGAACACAGATATGTATCTAGTTAGATGATACATATACATTTAGTATTTACCAGATAATGTTTTGGCCATTATATCGTGTGCCAACATTTATAATTTCTTTATCTAATCAGAATAGTCAAATTTCTGTTGCCGAGTGGCATTTTAGAGGAGGATGTGGTGAAAGACCAAACCCTAAAAGACCTACGCCTTAACTCTTCATCTGACACACGTCCGTCTGTCGTCTGTAAATCATCTCTGTTAAAATGATATTGTGGCTTCTCATGTTCCACTGGCCTTTTGGAGAACTGATCCAGCATGGCATTTCAAGCACGTGTTCATGTTACTATGTGTGTGTTTTGCCGTTTTGCCCTATAATAAACGTTATACCACTTCCTGGTTGACTCGCTGTCTGGCTCTTATTGGACATAAAATAGTGACAAACTGAGGGTCAGCAACCCTCCTAAAGACAGTTCATATTCATCCTGCAGAGGGCAGTCATCACAAATACTAACAGGACCCCAAACACTACTGCTGCTAAGAAATATCAACCATAACAAATACCAGGTTCACTACTTTATTACAAATAAGAATTGTAATGATAAATGAAGTCATAGAACTGATCACAAGGTAATCATGCCTTGAAAAAACATCATTGAGAATTTGATTTGGTCTGTACACATGTTGTTCACTGGTGCACAATGCCTACATGTTTCCATTATCATACACTTACTTTCTTTGAAGAGGCAACTTATCTTCCTGGGTGAAAGAAATACAAATACCCATACAATAATGTAAAATAACTCTGTTACAGGTAAAAGTACTGCATGCAAGATCCCACAGTTAGACATAAAACACTTATCTTGTTTAAAAAATAAATATTCACATAGATACGTTTTATACCTCTGTCATGCAGTGTTGGAAAGTAACTAAGTACATTTACTCAAGTACTGTTCTTAAGTACATTTATGAGGTTCACATACTTTACTTGAGTATTTCTATTTTATGCTACTTTATACTTCTACTTCACTACATTTTGGCAGCAAATATTTGACTTTTTACTTTACTACATTTATTTACAACATTAGTTTGCTACTTTTGCAGGTTCAAACTATTATTACAGAAAATAAATCAACAAGTACATTATGATGTACTGTTATGGAAGGAGGCAGTATAAAAACATATGTAACAGTGACACAGCTGGAAACATGTGGAGGCCACATGGAGGATGGAGAACACACACTACATGATGTAATGGCATCAAGATTACATTTAATTGTTTAAGAAAAGCTCTCTCCCCTTCACCAAACGGCAGCAGTTGTTTGATATTAAACTGTTGCATCAGAGCGGCTTCCTGCCTGAGACACACGTGCTGCAGAATGAAACTCTTATCTGAGCGCACAGTGGAGATGTGTGGAGCGTTTGTGCAGCAGATAAACAGACAAACCACCCAGATAGTCCCACCTCCATCTTTATCTGCGCCTGCAGGAGGGCTCACACCCACAGCCCAACTAGGGAGTGGGTTACCATGGTAACTGCCCTGTCCCGCCTATCTCGGACTGTCCTAAAGAACATATCTACAAACACAGCAGTTACTCACATAAGCAATATAAGACAGTCTTTACACTAACTGTGATGAATGGAGCTGACCTTAAAGGGTCAGCCTTGTATTAGTATTTTATTTCATAAAAATATTACGAAATATAGTACCAAATGAAAATATCTTCAGAATCTGCTAGGTGCAAGTATTTTACATGAACGAAACCAATTGAATATAAAATACATACACTTATATGCAGTGTAAAAGACATGTGTAGACAACATGCAATGGTAGCGTTTTACCTCATATTTTCAACATTTCTGATCATCATCTATTTAGATTTTAATTTTTTTGTTGCAATTCTTTAGTTAGAAGATAGTTGAGAACATTTTACCAGTTACAATAATATATACTTGCAATGGCAGGGAGTATTGAAGGTTTGCAAGAACGGAACAGTATACATTGAAACCCTCCCCTTCCCTTTATCCCTGTTTTTTGCATCTCATACCATTTTCATGACCTTTATACAATAACAAGGGATGTGCAGTAATCAACATAGTGAGGGACAATCCTGCAGGTGTTATTACAGTCAAACAAACAACACATCTCAATATTTTTGAGAAGACCGAGCACCATTTTATTTTGATGGTAGAACTGTATATCAGCTCATCAGCAGTTTGTTAACTCTATGAAATGTGACCGTGTCTGGCAGATACAGGAAACCCATTCGGACCATGACTTAGTAAATCTATTGAGTCATTTTTTCCATTTTGTATATGTTATTAACATTATCTACCCATTCTTCAATTGTGGCGAGTCAGGGAGCAGCCATTATTTTGTGATATTTACAAGCTGTTATCAGAACTCCAAATATGAAAAGTTAGATTTTTCATATGTTCCAAAATGTCACTGTTATAGATATTTGCCATATGTTTTTTTCTAACCACATTTTAAGACTTGAAAGCGATCAGAGCAGATGTTGTGTGAATCATTCAATCATACATAACATAGTGTGTTGAATTACAAGAAAACAATTCCAAAAAAGCAGTTTAAACTGTATAATGCGACAAACAGCCATGATCATTTCAAATAGATAAAACACGACTGTCTCTGATTCATAATGTTGTTTCCTATATCTGTGGTTCTTTATGACACTTTCTTTTAACCAACACTGAGAAATAACTGACAATTATAATTATTTTTGTTTTATGTATCTGCTTCTGACTCATGGTGTTGTGGATCTTTATAGTATTTCAGTTTTCTTAGTTTGGTTTCACTGCTGTTTAAAAGAAGAAGGTAAAACAGCTCAGGTGCAAGGGTACACCTTTATTATTAGAATATAAAATGTACTTTTGTGTTATCTTTATATTATTTGACCACTTTCTTAACTGTATAGTCAATGTGTTTTATTGTGAAAGATGACTTCAGAGAGCCCAGCCCTCCTGAAGACGTATTTCTTCTCAAAGACAGTCTGTTATTTAAGGGACAAACTGTCAGGGATTCAAGACAAACTGCACCGCTTCACAGTCAGGACATCATTTGATGCTGAGAATTTGACATGCGGTGTCCCTGTGACATATCTAATAAAAAACACATCTCAGCTCTTCATATCCTGGGATCTAGCTGAGCGCATGCAAAACAGTTTAATAAGTCAGATAACATGACATCAGCTGACACATCGCAGCATTAAATTCCAATGCATGAATCCATCACGCATAAATCCCAGGGCCACGAGATTCAGAGGACTTCAAGATGTATCACCACACCGGGAGATAAAGCTCTAATCCTTTTAAATACACGATGAAGAAACTCACATACTGCTGGGTGCTTTCATCAGACCGGGTCAAATGAATATTAGTATTAGGAGCAGGTCATCTAGTGTATGAATGTAATATTGTTTTAATTAAATACTTTTCAGACAATGGTAAAGAGGGCTCCAAAAAAATATCCTTTCAAAAGAGTACATTTTGTGTATGTATTTGTAAATATATAAAAACAAATTATAAACCTGTTTCTGAGAATCTGGTGTGAATCTAAAATGATATTTCTAGTATTTATTATACTTTTAAAATGTTGAAATGTATGAGTAGACTATATACGATAATACAAAAATAATGAATAAAGAAATATCGCCCTAAGAGATAATGATACGTATTTTGAAATAATTACAAAATTCATATGATCCCTTGATTTTAAATACTTTATATTTCTGTAATGGGGTTTGGACTTTAAAAATATTTGGGAAAATATAAGAAATATAATTTTCAAGGAAAGCATATATGATGCTGTTAAACGGCTTTATGTATAAAGCCAACTTTGGTATAAAAGGACACTATAATTGACTATAATTATTGAAAATGGTAAATTAACTTTTTATTATGATATCAATAAATGAAAGAAAGGTGTTAATCAACGATTCCTGCTCCTCATTTTTAATAAAAGTATATTTACTGAAAAATAAAATTGACACTGTGGTGTTTTTCTGCGGTTGTAATGAGGGTGTGGGCGGTCAGGTTAGGACCAGATAAGAGAAAGTCCCCCCCCCACCCCTCACGTTCTGTCTGTTCCCCCCAGATGTCCTCACGGTATGCTAATGAGCCGGGAGCCTTTAAGTGTCGGGGCCCGGCAGGCAGAGCAGTGAGGAGCCGGGGACGGGACAGAGGCCATAAAACATGAGCACGTGAAGGGAAGTGTCAGCGGAACATGAGAGATGGAACCCTGCATGGGAGGTGAGTGGGGGGGGGGGTTCGCTGGGGCCTCACGCAGCCGGGGGCCCTGCAGCAGGTGACAGGGAGGCTGTGTAGCATTTAAGATGTTTTTTAAAATTTATTTTGCCAACATAGGATATCATTTGTTGTTGGTTTATTACTTTAATGTAAATAGTCAAAAATTGTTTATTTTTTTTACAGTTTTAAGTAATTATTTTATTTCTTTATCTTATTTATTTGTTGTATACCTATAGTTGTATTTGTTTTAAAATTAAAACCAACATTACATAATTCATTTATACAACAAAATCCCAGCCTTTGTAACTAAGGATCTTTTTAAAATTACATATTTTTTGTTGGTTTATTACTTTAATATAAAAACAAATAGTAAACATTGTTTACTTATTTTTTTACATTTTTAAATAATTATTTTATTTCTTCATCTTATTCATTTGTTGTATACCTGCAGTTGTATTTGTTTGAAAATCAAAACAATAATCACATAATTCATTTATACAACTAAATCCCAGCCTTTTTAATTAAGGATTCTTTTTAATGACATTAATATTCACTTTGCATACATGCCTTTTTTTAAATAGCATTTTTAGCATATAATTAACATTTCATTGGTTGACCTTCACTGCCTCCCTAATGACCCCCTCCCTTTGCCCCGCAGACCCCCGTCAGGATCCCTCTGCTGGTTGTTATGTCTTGTGCCCCGGACAGGATATCATCTTATACTGTAAGTTTATTAAAGAGACACTACAGTATAGATGATGTACTATCCAGGGTTTTCATTCCCCCAGCGGCTCAATCAGCGCACACTGGCTCCTAACTGCCTGCTCTGGGGGGGGCCGTCAAACCGTTACCATTACTGAGTTTCAGTTAGGGTAAGGGTTATACGGCCCTCGCTCAATGTCATCAGGACCTCCAGGAACAAGACAGTGACATCTTTTCATGTGCGTAAAATAAAGCTTATTGCTCCCAAACGAACAAGTGTCTCGTTATTTTGTGCAAAGTGTGTGTGTGTGTGTGTGTGTGTCAGCATCCTAAATATCCTGTATGAAGATGACTCTGTAGTATTTGGGAGCAGCAGTTGGCTTGTCTAAGTGAAGATCTCTGCCGCGCAACCGTCTTATCTAATCAGTTGGGAGCAGGCGTCGCAGAAAGCAAGGGGAGCCTGAGGGGCTTCTGTGAGACATTCAAGGCCCCCCCCCCCCACCTGCTTCAGGCCACTAGCTGGTTATTCATCAAGATGACACGGATAGAGAAACCGTCAAGTTAACTCACAGGCAGCAGGGATGAATCCAATCACCATAATCTGACCCATTTTAGCATCAGGTTAGTGCTCCATACTGCCATCCATTAAGGGAGACCATTTGGCCCTCGGGGGCAGAGCCGGGCTTTATAAGAGCCACAAAAGCAAGGGAGGAGGAGGAGGAGGAGAAGGGAAGAAAGCAGCGGAACAAGAAAGTGATAGTCTCAGGGACGGATGGCCACACTTCAAAGGCGGTGGAGAAGGCTAAAGTGATGTGGGAGTGGAGGGAACAGGATGGTGCATCAGGGACGTCTGAGTGAACATGACGGTGCAGGGCCAGCCAAGTGAAGAGCTCTGAGAGCCAAAGATAAACCATCAGGCCTTTTCAAAGCTCGCCAAAACCTGCTCAGCCATGAACGCCCTGTCAGGCTCGTGTCAAAACATCCATTTGATGAGAGTCTGTGTCATGTTTTGCTGCCTCAAATACATCTTTGCTAAATAAATGCCAACAATTCTACCTTCACAGATCCACTCACACACACATTCATCATGTGTGTATCAATGACTCACCCCGTTATCTGAACCTAGAATTAAGAAACAGAGAAAAGTCGAGATTAATTGATGACCTTTTTCATAGACTTCCACATAAACAGTGTTTTAAACTTTAGAATTAGAACTTGGATTATTAAGTTAGGGGGGTTTTGATATAGTTTTGCTTTTCTCAAACACAGAACCTATTTCATTTACTTCATCCAGACTTCTTTCGTCAAGGTAACAGGGTGAGTAACTGATATACAAATGATTATTTTGTGGGTGTAGTAGTCCTTAAATGGCACTTTACCGATGATGTGTAAGTTAGTAAAGGCACTCCTTAGTTTTCTAACACCATAATAACAGCAACTTATAGGGTACAAATCTTTAATAGTATCTTCTGAGACTGCATGAAAGGTTGCTGCTGATGCAGGTAGACAGAAGATGCAATTTCAACAGTCCTCTTTCTCTCCTTCAAACAGGTCCATGTCTTCATACAGCTCCACTCATGAGCAGAGTCCTCTCTTTAGTTCTATCTTTTCATGTCCGTCTTTGCGTAGCCAAGAGGCATCTTAAATCCAGCAGGATCTGTTTCATGTGCTTCCACCCTCCTCAGACCTTCAGCTTGGCAGTGAGCTTGAGCCTCACGTCTCTCAGGAAGACTCGGCTCAGGTCCTCTCCGGCCTCCTTGGCCATGCGGCTCACCATCTGGCCCCCGGCCCCGATCAGCATCCGCTGTGGAGAGAAGACGCACAGCCGTGTCAGGGAGCGGTACATATTGGGTATCTGAGTAATGCAGGTTTGAAAGACACAAATAAAAAGGACCCTGTGGAAAATAGTATTATGATATCTGAAGATTTACCAAGAAAAAGGATATTGGGTTCAAACAAATACAGCTGTTCTTTTTTATGCAATTTCTATAAAATAGCCATAACCTGTTTCACCCTGAAGCATTCTAAAAGACTGCAGTGACCTCCAACATATATATTTAATATTCATTGTTGTTCACACAAGAAAGCTTGACAAGATAGCCTTCTCTCAGGAGATATTCATAAAATAAATGATATTTCGATCCCTTTGTTGACTCGTCCTTGTGAGTTGAATGGAAGAGCTGAGGAAAGGTCTGAGTCAGTCTTCTTAAAGGTCACTGGCCTTGAAACATTTCAGCACGGCAGATGTAGCTTCAAATATTCCTCACATCAAATATGTATGGTTTGAAAGGCTGCTCAAATATTTACAAGATAAAAACACACGGCAAATGCAGGCCAAATCAAATCAGAGGCCACCAGAGAGGCTGCAGGTGGAGGAAAAGATTTCATTTCCCTGAAACAGGCCAGGCATCTTAAAATAGTCAATCTAGTTTTTTCTACCTTATTCATTTTACACCTGACATTTATTTGCCAGCTTGTGTCATTTGCCTTTTAAAGCCAAGTCAAATCAAATGTATGCTAAACTTAATCAATACTTTCAATATGCATCTATACATAGTGTTTTTAATGAGATACTTCCCATCTTCGAAACCAAGAAATGTGTGGAGAGCACTTACCATGTGATTGTCTTTCATGACATAAAGTTTCACAGAAATATCCAGCTCTCCATTTTCTCCGTCGCCCCAGAATTCAATAGACTGAAACAGAAAGATTAAAATATTGTAGAGGACATAGTGATTTTCCTTCAGGTTCATATTTGTACTTTGTGCCTCTACTGTGACATGTTTCCATGCTTTAATGTTCAAAAAGCTCTTTATTTTTCTCACAGCACCTCTTTTCCCCCTCTGAAACCAGAGCCCAGTCTGCTCTGATTGGTTAGCTGGCTGGATCTGTTGTGATTGGTCAACCATTTAAAGATGTCCCACCTCTTAGCTAATCACATACAATATGTTGGTGCACTAGCCAATAGCAGCGCGAGTGTTACACAGTGGTGTCACTGTTTTACAAAAGTAAAAGTACTGAGGTTGTGTTAGCCGTGCAAGATATTGCTTCCATTAAATACATTTATCATCAGCACCAATTGGACATACACAAAACAAGTATTGACAATTGTAAATTGAGAAATTGTACAGTAGCAGTAAATACAGACGACAAACAATGAAAACAATCCCAAAGTGTGAAATGGCTGAATCCAAGCACATGTCAGCTTTCAGTCATCCCCAGGATCAGTGCAGAGAGATGTGATGGTGTAGTCAGATCTCTGTCTATCTATCGGTAAACTGGTTCACCTGTGTGATGGAGTAGGGCACTTCCTGTGGCAGATACTCCAGAAGCTTCTCTCTGATGGTGTTGGTGCAGATCTGCTCTGGAGTCTGGTCGGTCAGGACTTCACTGTGGTACTGCCACGAGCCGGGCTTAGCCGCAACCATAAAGTAGTTCTACAACATTTAGATAAAAGCATGGTTATTATCAGTAAATAAAAGAAAAGGAAAAAGATATTACCTTAAACAAAAGTAGTTAAATTAAAATGTCAAATAAAGGATTAAATAAAAATAAATTAGAATAAAAATATGTATACAAACATTATAAGTAAAAAATGTGCAATAAAAAACTTAAATAAATTAAGGATATTCATATAAAACATACAGAGAAATAAGTAAAATATCCAATAAAAGATCAAATAAAAATAATAAATTAAGAAAGAAATAAGAAGTAAAAATGTGCACATTGTACTCCAATATATACAGTGGTGTATTCATATGATATTATAAGGGTTTTGCTGCTGATGGTGAACTTATATCTTTATAAAGTGTAAAAATACAATAATTTATGATACAACATGCATCCTGTCCTCCAGATGGGCCTGCCTGGGATATCACTGTTTAACCTGCCATAATAGAATGTGTACCTTCAGTGTGTCAACGTCCTCTTTGTCCACAGAAGACAGCATGAAGACGTCCTTGAAGTGAGCCCAGCCCTGCTGACTCCTCAGAGCCTTCAGCTGCTCTCTGCTCAGAGCAGAGCTGGGATCAGCGTCTCCTTCCAGCCCCGCGGTGTCCTCGTCGGGCGATGGCTCTGGCTGCCTCTTGGAACTCTTTTCAGCCTCCGGAGGCTTGATCACTGTCCTGACCTGCAGCTTGCGTCCGTTCACTACTCCACATGTCAGCTCTGCTGTGATGTCCAGCAGCCGGTGCTTAGTCTTCAACAGGTCCACCTGAGACACATGGGGGCATCAGTGAAGACATCAGGAAGACTCCTCAGTGCAGGTTAACATTCATTTGAATGTTCTGGGATGTTGGCAAGGAAAGTCTGGTGATATTCTATATTCTTCTTCTTCTTGTCAACAGATCCTAATTCTACAGAAGTATTACCCATGTATCCAAAGTACAGTATCTTCTTCCTGTATGTCATAGAGCCTCTATTGTATTATTACTATAACAATACTTGTTACTATTACAACACATCAGTAAGTCGCACTGGGGGACAGGTGTCATCATTTCCATTTTCATTAGCACTTTAGTTTATATTCCCATACGCCTTCCTGCTGCATACACTCATTAGAGCTCGAAATGTATTGATTTGCACTTGAAAATAGTCCCCAACAAATGCACCATTTAATTTAATTAAGTTTGTTGAAAGATACGGTGACCAACTGTTTAATTTAGCCCTTTGAAAAGAACAATCAGTAATCAATAAATGATATCCATGACTTGCTGTCAATATGTATTACTTTAGTAGCATTTAACAGGCTTGTAATGAATGTGTCATTCTGTGGAAGAGTACCTTATTGAGCACCAGGATTGCAGGGATGTCAGTGTGCTGGGCCAGGCATTTGAGCACCTCGAAGTCGATCCTGCCGCACATCCATCGGTCGGACACATCCACCAACACCACCACTGGAAAACGGACACAATAACAAACACTTGGAACTCAGCACTGTTTTTTTATTCTTAAATGGTAACTTTGATAAATGATGGAATCATAAAGAAAGGTGCCCCTCAGGTCCGACTTATAAAAAGGTTCAGAGTTAATTTACATCATACCTATGTCTGCTTCTTTAACCGTGTTCCAGGGATCCTCAAGCAATGCCTTCTCCAGATTATGTCTGTGGAAACAGAGCAGCCAATCATATTACATTTTATGATACAACTGGATGTAGATTACAGACTTTAAAAATATAAATAAAATAACAAAGCACCTTTTGGCCTTTGATACAGTAGTGAGACCAGGAGTGTCCAGTAAGATCTACAAAACAATACACAAATGGGTTAATGTTTTTTTTTTTTTTTTTAGAATGGCATTAAATATAACAATAGAGACATGAGGAAGGTCTTACTATCTGTGTGTCCTCCTCTGTCAGGACGCCCACGGCCCGTGACCGTGTAGTGTGTACTTTCTTGGACACGGCAAACACCTTAAAGAAATGATTACTGACTTTAGACATTGAACACCTCCTTCAGATGAATATCAATGTACATGTTTTAAAAGACACATACCTTTCTTCCAAGGAGCTGATTGGATAATGTGGACTTCCCAGCATTGGGGGACCCTATGAGGGCCACTTTCAAAACCTTTGCATTTTCAGGCTGATCTGGATGTCTCATTAACAAGGATAATTGTTCAGCTGAAAACACACAAAATAAATCATTAGAGAAACAAAGAAGGGATTTATAACTTTGGATTTGCGACAGAATGGCGTCAGCAGGAGTTTATCAGATGAGTTCAGGGATGTAAATCTCTGATTACCGTTGTCTGGTAGAACTGACGCTGGCAGGCGATAAGAACTGCCGTCTGCCTCCACTGCTTTGCCTTTCATCAGTCTGTTGAGAAATGCATCTGATGTAATAAAACAAGCAGGAGTGAAGATAAATCCGTTCCTCCGTCCTCTGCTGCAGACAGCGTTTCCTGTGAACACATAAAAACATTTCCATCACTTCTCTGCCAGCAGGGCTGCAAGGTTACTCATTCATAATAAGCCCTTGGGTGTTATTATGGCACAGTATAACGATGCGTTCGTAAATGCGTTCATAAAAGTAATTACAGAACCCAATCAGATTGAGTTTAGAAATAATGGCATGCCTTCATGCAAGTCTGCATGTAGGACAGAGTTATACAGAATAGTTTTTGATAATCGTTTAATTGTTTAAAGCAATTTTCTATGTGGCAGAAAATGTTTATTTCATCCTCTTGTGATTGGAAAATGTGCTGTTTTTTACTGCTTTATGGTATATTAACATGAATTGATTTGGGTTTTGGTCCCACAAAAAACGAGAAATGTATCATACTTGGACTTTCAGAAACTGATATGGACATTTTTAACTATTATGACATTTATTAGACCAAATAATTAATTCATTAATCAACAAATTAATCGAAAATGATAATAAATGTTCAATACATTTTCCTTTTGCTCACATCTTCCAAATTGTTGTCAATATTGTCCTTGAAGACTTGTGATACACTTACCAAATGTATTTTTTATCAAATTAAATGTTAACAGAGTTAAGTAACAATGTGTAAAACATATTTTGAATGCAGGCGGAGTTTAAATTCTGCCTGTCACTCATGAAGCATTTTGCACATACATGGAAGTCACAGTTGTAAAAGTATCCCTGAAATGGAAAATCACACATTGTTCACCTACTCTCCATTATTGTCATGTATTCTACCTGTACCATGTTAATGAAACGTCTCCTCGGATGAAACAGGTGTTATTGATGGAAAAAGCATTAGCTAACAGCCTGTGCCTCAACAGAGCTAAGAGATGCCTGATTTATTGGGTCGCCCTGATAAACGTCATAGTACGCCTATAGGCTGATATTCTAAATACACCATGCTTAACTAACACCCTAATACACTTCCTTGCTAGAAAAATACAAATAAAAGAGCAGCAGAAAGCCTTGTTTTTGACTAACCGGCTGTTAGGAACCATGTCGCACTTTCCTGTCGAGTAGTCCCGAGGAGCAGTCTCGAGACGAGCGAGGAGTCTCTAAGAACCCGCGAGCACAATCTGAGCGCCATGGAGCTTCAGTCACTGTTACTATTATATTTCAGATAATATTACACTATTCATCGTTTCAGAGGTGAGCGCTGCTTGTTCACATTGCCATTACAGGGGGGAACCATGTTGTTTTGACCAAAGAAAAACGTCTTCCGCTTTAAAGAGCTTCTCACAGAGTGTCGTGTGGAAACTACACCGCCCCCTGGCGACCACTGTGTCAACTACAACATGTTATTTCACCCTGCATACTGTCTGGTAGAAGGATCTGTATTAGCCTTTTAAATTGACAGCAATTACAGAGAAGCAGTTATGGCAATACAAATATTGGATCTAACACTCCCTCCAACAGCGCACATTGAAAAAGGAAATCATGCAAGTAAAAGAAACACGAGAATATCAAAGATAACATAGTGCAAGTTCAAGATTCAAATATTTAACTGATTTAGTTACATAGTAGAACAGTGTAGTTGGTGGCAATGAAAGTCTTAAAATCTTCAGTCCCCTCAAATAGTGCAAAAATAAAATAAACTTTACACATACAATTAAATGAGGATGTAAAATAGCGTAAAGAAATAGTGCAATTAAAATAAAGGTGCAAGTGCAGGAATAAGCAAACAATATATAAATCAAATGGGACAGAAAGTAAATGTAAATACTGAACAGCATTATTGTTTGTTGTAATAATATAAAAACACAAATATGTTGAGTGTACACAGATGTAATAGCTATAAACAAATGGATGTGGAGACACTCCATCCATGTTGTTTTTCAGTAACTCACAGAATGCACCTGGGCCCCAGTTTGCGAGCCACCTGTGTATCGCAGGGATATATTGGAGGCTAAAAACGGTCAGCGGCTATTCCAAAATCAGCTCATCATAATGCAAACACACATCCACCAACATGAGCAAATGGCAGTTTAAAAAGGATGACAGGCTCTCAAAGGATCTTTTGTCTGGGGTGATAGTCTGTATATTACTTTGTGAGGGATGGTGCGCCCATAACCACAAATCAGATCGCAGCGTTCCGACTTTTCCTATCCCTCTTGTCCCTTGAGTGCACAGAACAGAGCTTATCCCTGAGGGTGCTTGAAGCACAGTTGTGACAATGTTGTCGAGGATATATTGAACATCCACGCTTAAAGCATTATGCCAACACTGCATGCTTTCACACCCCGCAGCTCTTCAGAACTAATTCACAATGACAAGCTGACATAATGACTTGATAACCATGACGTGTGTAAGGTTAATCACAGCACTAAAAGGACACAGTTTGCATATTGATTGATTACTGTAACGTGTTGTTTTCATTCTGTATGGCAAAGCCAGGCAGAGCAGATGTCTCCCTGTAGTCCATCAAACACGCCGGCTGTTTGCTAGTCCTCGAGGACTTGCTCAGGGCGGAACAAACACCTCCACTGGGGAGGATGATGAAGGATATCAGGTAGCTCACAATCTGTCATCATCTAACTCTAAAAGCTCTGCCGCAATGGAAGGACAACAATAAAAAATGGAGCTTTTAGCAGTCACTTACTGCCGAATTCCAATTGAACCATACCAAAAGGATATTTGAGGATCAGTAATGTTTGAACTTTCTCTCTATCTGCCTCCCTCCCACTCTCCCTCTCGCTCCCTCTTAAATTCATTCAAGGCCTTTTCTCCCTCCGGGTTTTCCTCACATGGCCATTTCACGTGGGAGTGTATCAGAGTTCTTTCTATGACTGCATTAACTTTGGCCTTCAGAAAGAGCTCTCTCTCCCTAAAAAAAAAAAAAGAAGACAAAAAGGCTTCGCCTGCAGACCATTTAATCATAAGCTGCAGCCCACTTTGCCATTTGAAGTGCACTTGCCAATGAGATTTAGCATGGTGTGATGGAAACCCTCCCTCTGGTGCTGCAATTCAGTGCGCTGTTGATTCCCAATCAATCTTGTTTTCTGCAATTCTAACAGAACACTTTGTATTGATAGTGAACAGGTCAGATCTTCCTGAATATGCAGAATTGTGTGTGGCCGTGCACCCTAGCAGCCTCTCCTGTTGATTTACTAATAACACTGTCTGGGATTAGACATGCAATAACTGGCAAGAAGATCTGGCTGCTCATGAGGAAGTTCATGGAATAATAAGTGTGAGCCATGGGGCATGTTAACAGGGAGCAAAAAAACAATCTGTCAGTGCGTCAGAGCATCCATCACTCCATCACTGCCGATTGCAGTGAGAGGCGTGATGCTTCACAGCTGGCTGACTGTCTATAAAACAGCAGCACCTCAACCTTCTCATGCTGAGGACTCCAACGCAGATAGGCTATTTCTAAAGCATCCCACAGATTAATGAGTGGATAGATGAATTTCCACACTTGATAAATGAGAAAGCAGTGAGATTTAACTGTTACGTCACACATGAGGTCCTGGATGTCCTCGAAGGCCCCTCCGTTCAGTAATCACTGCATACGTCCTTGCTCAGGCTGCTTTTTAAAAGAGGGGATTTAGCTCCCAAACTACCCATATAGGTCACACTGATGCTCTGATTGTACAATCTCTTTCTCAGTGGGGGAGATAAGGGGGGGAAAAAAACTTTTAGTCATTCTAGACTTGCAATCGATGGGACTTGTCTGTGAAGTGGATCAATAATGCCTCTCTTTGAAATCATCAATCACGTCAGTGGTGAATTTAAAAAGCGTAATTAGGAGCAGCGTTCTTAAACATCCTGTATTGACGTCTTTCTTTGGTATGGAGAAAGACACCGCTCTGCATCATTAACTTTGTATTATTGCGTGATGGAGCCTGCTGCTGCTACTTCCCCACCTGCTGAACTCCGAGCGCTGTGCGTGATTGGGCTTTCAGACCAAATTCTCCCCGCTTTCACTTGCTGATGGGGGAAGTGAAGCTTGCAGGCCTAAATTGGCTGGAGTATTGTAATAAGCCCAGATTGTACTGGAACCCAGGCCAATGGAGTTATCCTCCACAATGCTGTTTGTGCAGTTGGACATCTGTGATTCTTTTCTCTAATCTTCTCATTTGATTACTTTTGTGCAGGTTCTAACCTGACATGACACACATTCTGCAACCTTCCCATAACTTTCCACCATGTTCAGCTTTGTCCATCTGTCTCTCTCTGGTAATAAAATACCATCAATACTGTGGAGAGGGCAGGTGGGTGGTTGTAATGGAGTAATTTATTTGAGATGTCACAGAAATATAAGTGTTTGATTAGGGAGCCATACACATCAGGCTGCACAAATAGAACCTTTCATCAAATCACAAAGCATGTGACACTATTGACTGCAGAGGTTTCTCACTGGCTGTGTCGTCTTCCACAAGATTCACAATATGTGAAGAAAAAAATGATGCAAAATGCAAGGACAATACAACCGAAGGATACATTTTGTGCCAGTGAAACAGATGAGTATAACATTTCATACATTTATATTTGAGTATTACAATTATACTCTTCTGTTGAGCCAACTATGGTCGATTGTCTCTCAATAAAACAATCGACCAGCAACAATCTATATTTAGGTATTAGGGCATAAATGCAAGAGAGAGACATTTTTAATAGGCTTGGGAACTCACCATACTAAATCAGAAGTAAAAACTCATTTTGGACTTTGAAGCCCACATTAGCAAAGTTACCAAGACAGAATGCAACCCCCTAAGAAGTGCTGCAAAAAAGTAAGGCTGCTCTTAACGTAGCTGTGAAACTGATTCATGTTTTCACAACTTGCAAATTGGAGTATTGTAAAACCCTTTTTACTGGCCTACCAAAAAAAGGCTGTTTGGAAAAGTTCAACTATAGAACTGCTGCCAAAACAAAGACTGGGAAACTGCAGTCACTCTTGCTTTAGCCACACTGCTCTGGCTCTCCATTACCTAGGATTGATTTTAAGGTTCTTACAAAGCACTTAATGATAAAGCACTTTCTGACACTTTCTGACTTTAACTCCTTATCAACTAACAAGAGCCCAAAGGTCCTCTGACGTTAGTATATTAAGACTCTGAAAGACCCTCTCTAGATACATTATGCTAGCTTTGCTGACACTTAAAGGGACAACTGAAGAACCACATAATAAGCATGCATTTAGTTAGTGTGATATGTGATATGTTTTTTTTGTAAATGTTTATGATCATGTCTATTAATTTTGTTTCTCTTTTTTTTTTTTTTGGTCTTTATATTCAATGTTTGTTTTGTGCAAACACATTGATGACCTTCATGACATCCTCAACAAACATTTGGTGTGTCCCTCAGTAGGTATTTTCCATCCAAAATACAGATACAAAACATTTCCATCATATCCCTAGAGGTTAAGTAATCATGTTAACTGATGATGTTCCCCAAACACAGTCAAGGGAACATTTGGTATCCCTGCTAACATCACTGTAAATGCCTAGAGGAGCTCAGGTCAGAAGAATTGCATTGCCATTTCTACACTGTAGCTTTGTGCATATGACAATAAAACCTTTGAATCTTAAAAATCTTGAATCTAGACGTATGGCTTAGTAAAAAAAGAGTAATCGGCTTAATGTTGGTGTACACTTACAATTTGGCTAGTGGTTAAGGGCAGTAAAACAAGTCCTTCTGAATAGGCAACAATTCAATCAAAATCAATTCAGGTATCTTTAAAAATAAATTGCAGGGTACTTAGTTGCAGCGCATTTCACTAAATATGTTTAGTTACCCTCACTGATCATTTCATAGCCTATGCAAAGCGAATTTAGTACGGTAACACACCTTGAAGTAATCATTATTATTAATATGTTGCATCTAAAATGATCAAATTGTGAATACCTCTTCCTAGAGCTTGATAAACAAGCTTAATAACAAACAAAAATAGATATAACTAAAAACGAGTTGAACATGAACTTTGATATTGTAGAGCTGTAAAAATAATGACAGGTTATTTCAATAATGTCCTACAAATATTTACCCGTCCAATAAAATCCCACGCTGCCTGTCCCTTTAAACCGCTCGGTGTCCTGCGCAGAGACCAGCGCAGTCTGGACTGCTCCCAGCCTCTGCGCATGCGCCAGAAGTTGCTGCCGCAGACAGCAGCAGCAGCAGCAGTGATTCGGCAGCGCAGGGCAACGGGAGAAAATCTGTCCGTTTTAAACCATGGCGACGTACTAAACGATGCCTTTCGCAGAGGAAAACGGAGAGTAAGTAGTTGTCTCTTTATAATACGGCTACTGCCTGATACTGTGTGACGTCCTCTCAAATTGTGGCATAAATATGAGGAGAGCTTGAGGAGGCAACAATGGGACTGTGTATGTTTCAGACTGGCTGGCTAGGTTAGCTAGCCAGGAGCCTGGGCAGTCAGCTGGCACCCCGACTGGCAACATGCAGCTTTATAGCTACTGTACTGCTCCCTGTATTGTCTGTGGATACACCTCACGGCTTGCTGTCTGTTAGGAGCCAAACATCTTTTTTTCAGGCACTGAAGTAGCCATGTATTCCTGCCTAAAGGTGGTGTTACCTGAATTAAACTGGGCTTGTGTAGTTGAGCTGTTTAGCAATTTTTTTTGCATTATGACAACAAGCAGTGAGGAGTAAAAAGATTTCCATTTGCCTGCCAAATCATGATTATATTTATATCATTGTGGTATTCATGGTGCAGGTTGTTTTGTACCAACTCAAGAGAAAATGTGAGTTCCAGCCAGCTGTGGGGGAAGTTGTGTGTTATCTTGTGTAATTATAAAGTATGGGAGCTGTCACTAAGTTGTTTCCCACTGCTAGTATCTAATACACTCAGTGGGACATGCATGCATTAAATCCAAATTTAGAGTAGCTTCTCTCATGGTGCAGATGCGCGCACACCTTGCTCTCAGCGCGTCTGCAAATAGCACCTCCTAATATAACGACAGAGGAAAAGTGTTCCCACCTTGCAAAGTGTTAAAGGTGATAACAAAAGGTTGACGTCACCGAGCTCATCCTGATCCTGCCGCACAACCTCGACCACTGAGGAGGTGGAGTAGGAGGAGGAGGAGGAGGAGGAGTGCAGGAGGAGTACTTTCAGAGGAGGAGAGCAGCTTTTTTGTTGTTGCCATAACGTCTAATGGCTCGTGTCTGGAAGGAAAAAGGGTCTATCTCTGATCAAATTTCGGGTAACCTAAGGGCACACTTAACTAATGGGATCCTATCGATGTTTCTCCCCCTCCAAGCCTGATCTTTAAACGGTGGAATGTTAATGTTTCCACAGCCTGTCCGTGTTATCTTTGGCTGCTCTGAGTCTGGCTTTATTGCTGTTTAGTCGGTCTATAATGTCATGGAGCTTGACGGATATGATTTAAAAAAAACGCAGTAAACCAACACTTCTGAGACTGACTGGACTATGGGAGTGATCGAGTTTATTCTGCACATGGTAAGAGGATAACACTATGCAATTTCTAAAGATAAAAAAAAAAAACTGTTAAGTGTCTGTTGCTGTGAAGAAAGCCATTATCTTGCCTTTACCTTTACAAAGGTGACTGTTTCGTTAATAACAGCAGGGAGGATGTGCTTAGTGAATTCCTGTGTTACTCAAATAACAGCCTGACATTACTCGCCAAAAGTGCAGTTTTGCAATGTAGCTTTTTTCTTCCCCTACATTTTCCGAAGAGCAGATAATTACATTTCAGACCGTGTTGTCTGGGAAACTCAGGCCCCTAGACTCTCTGCAATTATCGTGTAGAAGGAAGCCTTTTTGCATTGAGGTGCTATGTTTCCCAGCACAATGAAGATTAATTAGGTCTTAAAACAAATGACTGCAGGCCTCTCCCCATCTGTAAAATGCAGTTCGTCCCTAATGACAGCAATGACATTAAGTTACTGTGAGATATCGTTATGCTTAGGCAAACAACAGTAGATCTTGCACTCGTAGTTCTAATAAACGTCTGACTTGGATTTCTGTGTGTGCATTTATTACTTTAATTATGTCTTAATTTGTGTGTTAGCTTTTGCTCGTAACATCCGCAGATAAGCCTGAATGTCGGGAGCACCTGGTTCATTTGCTCATGTCATGCTGATCTGCAGCATTGTAGAAAATTACAGCGATCTGCCAAATTGAAATACCACTTGAATGCATGTGTTAATTAGGGCTCTGCGTGGCTTTTCAAAGTGTCTCTCCTCCTCCTCCTCCGCCCGTGAATCATGTGCTGACTCTTGGACCTGTCACCGCAAACCCCAGAGCCTTTGCTGAGGGCAAACTGACAGGATAGCAAGTTGCTTTGGTTTTTTCCCCCAGCCAACCACTGACAAATGCATTGGGACATATTGATTTACATTGTAGGCAGAGGAGAGCAATTTCCTCTAAAATACTCGTGTAGCATCTTGGCTGCTGTTCCTCTTAGTCGACAATTGCCTGCAGACAAGGTTAAACTTTCACAGAAAAAACATCACATATAGTGAACACACACCTATTTAGGCTTCATTTGGTGGACATTTGTAAGCAGTAAACAGAGTTCAGAGAGATTGTGATGTGCACACCCACACACAGTTTTTTTTAGACCTCACTGTTTTCAACTTTCTCCTGGTAACCAAATGGCTAAACAGATTTTAGTGAGTGACGATTGTTATTTAGAGAAAAATCATTATGAGCCCCTTACACCTGATGTCCCTGATGTTTTGGGTTGCAGAATTCTCCACGTGACAGTCAAACAATCTGATTCCCACCATTGGTCTGGTATCACACAGCAGTAATAAGGGGATAACATCAAAGCTCTGTTTTATTTCTCAGAGACATCAGAGCAAGAATATGAATAACGGATCACAAGGTACAAAGAGTGAACCAGAGAATCTGAGCTGATTTAATGTTTCAGCTGTTGTTTAGATTCACAGGGAGCTCATTAAAATACATTGATTAGTAAAGGTCCCGATTCTGTGATTGTTGGCTGTGAAATGGCTCGACTAAACGGCATATCTTTTGATGCAACGATTTTCTGTGCTGGAATGAGGCACTTGGCTCATTTTGGTTTATTCAAAGCCCAGTCATTTGATGTAGCGCTTTAGAGACGGTACTTGAATTGGAAATGTGTAACAGTACGCTCTTGTCAATGCAATTCATTTCTTCCTTTCATATTCCAGTGGGGGCTTCTGTATGTTAAATATCATGCAGGTGTTGCGAATTGGATTTGCATAGCAGATTTTTATTTCCCTCAACCCGGGAGTTTGAGATGAGCAGCATTTGTTGAATATCATCCATTTGCTAAATGAGGCTGACCCCCTGTCCCAGACAGCATGGCAGAGATTTCCCAGGTAGCAGTGATGTGCCAGCCTGCTCCACCTTGTAGTCCCCCCATCACCACGGCAGCTGTCAGCCCACACTCAGCCATCCACCACTTAGAGAGACGCTCTGCGAGGCCACCCAATGTCTTCCCAGCTATGTGAATCGTTTTTCTAGACAGAGGGCAGATGTTTGGTAGCTTTTGTGTGAAAATCACGAGGGTCAAACGCAGGTCAGGGTGGGAGTAAAGAACTGTGGTCACATGATACATCCAGATCAGGCGTATAGGACATCATGGGCACTTCTGGATACCTCAGAGAACAAGGGACCCGTCTGCAGGGCTCAGACTCTGGATCAGCTGTTACATGGTGTTCAGTTTAGTTCACATGGGTTGATTTACAATGTGTCATGACCACAGGCGATAGGGCTGCTTTTAAGATAGACTTTGCGTTTTTGTTTACCACATTTCTGTGTTTTCTTGAATTTGCATGGATTTGCAAGTTGCCAGCAGGTCCAATTATGACAAAAAGCCCCGCTCTTGCTGGGTTAGCTTGCATAATCAGCAAACCTGAGGCTCGAGGCCAGGGAGGGCTCCAACCTGACGTTACAAGACCAAAGGGCTTTTCGGAAATTGTTGTGTCTTCAGCTTGAGGGCAATCGGGTAGGAATCCAAGCCTCCCGGTGATATTCAAAGCAAAAACAGCAGTCATAGCAGCAGGAGGAACAAGGCAGGGTTTAGGATGGCATCTGTTTGATCAGACTCGTCGGAGGCACTGGAGACGACAGGGTTGTTTATCCACCTCCATCTCACAGGAACAGCAGAAGAGCAGTCAGATACTCTTATCTGTTTATGGCACAAGATAAGGCTGCCTCAATCGGATCACTGACCCACCACTGACACTCTCCACCCCAAATACCAACCCTCTGTGCTCAGGGGTTGCCAGGCGAATCCCATATCACTTAAGTAATCCTAATAGGTGCCATTAGCATGTCCGCGGTTACTGCTGCAGTTTTCCAACATCCATGCCAACTGTACATATCGGGGCATCATTAGCCGGCATCAGAGAGGCTCAGAGTCTCACCCGGTCTGCAGGGTCAGAAAGAATGCAGCAACAATGCAGGAGTAAAGCTGTAGGGGATATCAAGTGGAGGGGGCGAGGGAGCTCAGAGTGTCATAGTTGGCTCAGACGTTAGATAAGGGTAAGCTACCAGAGGATTATAGAGGGAGGAGATCAAAAAATTCTGCGGCTAATTGGGCTTTATTTTTAATATTTTAGAGGGTTCATTAGACACTTAATTGGTAAAGGATTTCAGCTCCGTCTGTAGTCTAAAAGTCATTTTGGAACAGGCTTTACAACCTGAATAATAGTCTCAAATATTTGTTGATGCATTGTCGTTAAGCACAGGGTGTGTGTTTTAAAGGAATGCTTTATTTGATGACCAAAATTGTTTCATTTCAAAATGCTTGCCTTACCCTCAGCTTAGTTATCTCAAATAGCATCAAGAATACAATGAAAGTCATGAATTGGAGGTATTTAAAATGTTGCCTTGTTAACTGTGTGATGAAATGTTACTAGCCTTTTATAACCTTTGGCCAGACATAGTAACCTAATGGATGGATATCATAAAGTTACATTGTCCAAAAGGACAAAGCAGGCGAAGCTCGGAGGCTTTGTTAAGAGCTTTACTTGGGAGGGACTGAGGCTGAAGCGGTCAATCCACGGCACTTTGCCATGACCCTCCTCAGTTTATCAAAGGTTGCACCACTTCTCCAGGCCTCAGTGTGTGGGTGTGTTTTTTTTCTGTGTGCGTGTGGTGTACTGGAGGGATTGAGCGGCGCTTAGAATGGGGCCCTTTTATAACCTCTTAACCCTCTAGTCCTGTTTGCAGCCATTGTTGGCCACAGAGAATGGTATCTCCGTGCCTTGAAAAGTAACCAGATGACATTCTTCCTGTTGTTCAAAAGGGCCCGGGGTTGTGTTGTGAAAAGCGGCTGAAAGGATAGGCGAAGACTGTGACCTTCAGAGGCTAATCTCTGGCATGTCATTCCGAGGCTGTTTGAAGCAAACTCAGACCTTTCTCCCTGATAGCAAGCATACCAAGTCAAAAAAAGGCAGAAATTCCTCTTATTTTTCAACAGTTGTAAACCCAAAAGTTTTTCTTTTAACCTCCACTATAAGGGAACAAGGGGTTGTTTTGTATCGGCTGAACTGAATCGTTATTCCAGACAGGCAGAGTGTCTGACAGCTACATTGTCCAAACAGTCTCTCAGCCTGTGACTGAGCCCTCTGTACACAGACCTGTGGCATCAGCAGCCCCCTCTGCACGGCATGCTGAAATACCGCCGATGCTGGGATGGCAGAGGGGATGAAATGCACTTAGTGAGACAGTAAACATCGGCACAGCTCTCAAACTAGCTTACGTTGTTTATGTCTCCTCCTCTCTCTGGTGTATTTGCTGTCTTCAGCTGGCTGCGTTTCCTGGAATGTGCAGAGATGCAGTTGTTGCTCTGCGGATGTTGGCTGTAATCACAGTTCAGTTCATAGATTGGACATAATATTCTCCTGAACTGGAACACCCTACTTGACATTACTGTGTGTGTGCATTGAGATTTTTGCAATGGAAGACTCTTGGACAAACAGCAGAAGCATATCCTTTTTTTTCCTTTAATATTAAGAGTTTTACAAGTTGCTTTTTAAGTGTTTGCCTCACATTTTTGCAAACACTTAAAAATGAACAGCCTTCACAGCATAATGCAGTGTAGCTACCCAGTTATGAAGACTCTCAAAACGGCCTTAACCAGAAGCTTTTAGTCTACACTGACAATGAGGCTTTACCAATAATGTGTTCAAGGGGATCTGCTTTTCAGTAAGTTAGAATAAACTGAAATGGCAATGTGCCTGTCAAAAATGATCTCTGAGAGCATGTCTTAGGGTAAGAACAATGTTGTCTCCTGAATAGCATTCCTGCTTCCTGTGCCACCTGTATGGGGTTACATTCAGGGTCAGACCTCTTGCAGGCGTCTGTTGTCCGGGCCCCTTTTTTAGGAACTGGTTGTTCTTTGGAGACTGACGCGAAAAAGAAAAGCTGTCGAGTTTTAAGGGCCTCTTTTGTCAGACATCTTTCAACGATTAATGATTGGCATATCTCCTGCCATTTCC